GGCAGGAGAGCACAGGGACACCTGGCAGGCTCTGACAAGCATCTGGAGACAGAGCTGCCTCCCATCGCTCCCGAGCAGCAGCAGAGGAGAGTGCAAGAAAGGACATTCTGGCTCTAGGATGGAGGCCTGGTCCAGCAATCTGGGCCTGTCCAGCAGTCAGCCCGCTTGCCTCACCAGGCAGCATTCCCTCAGCGGAGCCGCTGAAGCGGAGGGGTAGCCTCTTAGGTCTGGAAGCTGTTCCTTTCCAAGGGTCTAGGATGGTCTAAGCTATTTTTCAAACCATCGCCAATATGTGTTCCTCTCTTTTCTCTGTTTGATTTCCTTTCCTTTTACTTCCCCTTTCGCCACCGTATCTCTCTTCTACAGTCACCTGGATAGAGACACTTCCTGCTAGGTTGGCATTAGGTGCTGTTAAGCCAGTTCCGACCTATGGTGACCCTAGGCCCAGCATAGCCCAACACTGCCCAGCCCTGCACCAGCCTCACAATTGTTCTGTGTTTGAGCCCATTGTTGCTGCCACTGTGCCAATCCCTCTTGTGGAGGGTCTTCTTTTTCGTTGCCTCTCTACTTCGTTAAGCATAATGTCCCGCTCTCAGAACTGGTCATTCCTGGTAACGTGTCCAAAGGGCAAGAGATGAAGTCTCACCATCCTTGCTTCTAAGGAGCACTCTGGCTGTACTTTCAAGAGTGACTTGAAATGCTGCCTGTTACAGCTTCCTGTGGGGGCATCGCGTGCTTCCTGCTATGCTGGTGGTAGTGGTAGTCAGTGCTAATAAGTCAATTCCAACTCATCGTGACCCTCCGGACAAACAGAACGAAGCACTGCCTGTGCCACCCTCACAATTGTTGTGATGTTTGAGTCTATTGTTGAAGCCCCTGCAACATTGTCAGAAGTCGTCCCCTTTTCCACTGTCCCCCTGCTTGACCAAGCATGATGTCCTCCAGGGACTGGTCTCTCCCCAGTAACGTCCAAAATACAGGGGACTGAGGCTCACCACCCTGGCATCTAAGGAACATTCTGGCCATCTTTCCAACACTGTCTTGGAAAGCTGCCCGTGATAGCTTCCAACTGGGGGCATTGCAGAGAGGAAGCCCTCTCACCTTTCCCCTCTAATCAAGCCAGCAGGTATTGACTGAGATCAGTAACTGAGTGTGAAGGACGCACATTCATCAATGCAGAGCATCTGGAAGTTCATGGTTACTTATATCGGCTGCAAGATGCTATAGAGGCCACCCAGCAAGGGGTGGAGATGATTTGGAATCTATAATGATCACAGCACATCGTGAAGGCTGCCACAGTTGAGCTATATCTTGGAAGTTTCAAATACAGAGGAGAAATGACTTCCTTTGCGTTACTAACGTGTGTCCATTCTACCAGGTGTGACATGTAGCTAAGGCGACCTATGGTCTTGGTTTACCCAGGACCTGAGACTTCCAGTGCTAAAAGAGGGACAGTCCTAGCAGAAGTCCTGGTTTCCCTGCAACAAAGGGATTTCCTAAGACCTGGGACATCCTGTGTGAAAACCAAGAAAGTGCTGGGCCAAATGGGATAGGTTGGGTCACCTGCACATAGTGCAGCTTGTATGATGCACTCAAGGAGAAGCATGTTAGCGGGCTTTTCAAGCACCTCTTCTTCACCAAACATGAAGAAAGTCAAAACCGGGTCCTTATTACTAATCCCGGCCCCTTCAGAAAACGCCAGGTCAGAAATAGTTGAAGCGTGGCAAAGATGGAAAGGAAACAAATAGGCTCTGATCCAAGACCTGAGAGTCCATCTAGGGGGTTGGGGATGTTCTCCAAAGCAGTAATTAGTAGAAGAGCAAACGGGGTCTAGCTGTAGTCATGCAGATCACTAGCCGTGAAACACGTGCATCCGGTCTCTTACCTGATGAATTTATGAGCCAGCTGCTGCACAAAGTAGTAGATCTCATTCCAGTGGTGCAGCACACTGCCCGACCTGGGGGAACAGAAGTGGATGTCGGTGTCTTTTGATCGTGTGCATTTTACGAACAGACAGAACGTTTTTATTGTGAGTGAAGGTTTAGAGCAAATCAGTTTTCCTTTCAACCATCCCTACCCATTTTGTTTCCTGTCCTTGCTTGTCATCCCCACAAGGTAACACATTTCATTCCCATCCCATTTCCTCCCGGTGTTTCCATCCCTCTGAGGCTTCAGAACTGATTCAAAGGCTGTGAGTTGGTTTTCTCTCTTAACCTTTCCTGCCCTCTGAACTTTGTCCTTGGGGACATGCTGCCCTTTTGGTTTCAGTGTTGAGGGGTCTTAGGAGGGTATACCGCCCTGGTGAAATTGGTCCCTTTATACATCTATTATTTCGTGGAAGAATTGAGTCCCAGGGGTGAGCTCACTTCCAGGCCTGAAGGGTAACTAATAGCGTAGTCTTGGGGTTCCACCAGTATCTCTCTGACCAGACAGTCTGGCATTTCATATCATTTTTAGCTTTGTTTCATATCTTTCTCACACTGTATTCAGGACCTTTTAATGCAATCTCTTCCATAGAGGTCAATAGTGGTGGCTGGGTACCATCTAGTTCTGATCTCAAGACTGTGACGTCTGCTGTGTAAGTAATAACCAAGATACTTTTAAAATTAATTATAGACATATACCATTGCACAAAAGATCTAAATAGGGGGGTTTAGAGAACTAGACAAAATACTATACAAAGGGGCTTCAAAACATTCATATAAATATGGAATTAAAGTAAAACTTTTCCATGAATTTTTTGACACCCCCTGGCATACCCCTGGATATAAGGTAACTCCAACCATGATGATAAAATTAAGGCAGCTACTTCATTCTGAACTACAAAGTGGCACAAGCAATTGTGCTCATAATGAGAGGCGCTTCCCCATCCACTCTATATCAGGGCATAATCTTGGGAGAAAATATATCCTAGATTTCTTTAGTTATGCTACCTATTGAATGTTTTTATTAAGAGGTGGGTGGCATTGGGTGATATCTAGATTATTGTTTAAGAATACACTATTCAGAGAAAGCACCTAAGCAGTTAAGAACATAATGACAAACTGCCTTTCTGAAACAGTGGGTTGACTCAAGGACGCCCTCAAAGCAAGAATACTTTCTTCTATTAAATTGGCATTCTATGATGCTCACCTTCCCGACACAACAGCTGAAGACAAAGCGGGTGAATAAGCAAATGTGGTGAAGAAAGCTGATGGTGCCCGGCTATCAGAAGATATAGCATCTGGGGTCTTAAAAGCTTGAAGGTAAACAAGCAGCCATCTAGCTCAGAAGCAACAAAGCCCACATGGAAGAAGCACACCAGCTGGTGCGATCACGAGGTGTCGAAGGGATCAGGTATCAGGCATCATCAGAACAAAAAAATCATATCATAGTGAATGAGGAGGGGAGTGCGGAGTGGAGACCCAAAGCCTATTTGTAAGCCATTGGACATCCCCTTACAGAAGGGTCGCAGGGAGAGATGAGCCAGTCAGGGTGTGATGTAGCAATGATGAAACATACAACTTTCCTCTAGTTCCTAAATGCCCCCCCCACCACCACCCCCGCGCCCACCAACAATCATGATCCGAATTCTACCTTGCAAGTCTGGCTAGACCAGACGATGTACATTGGTACAGATAGGAACTGGAAACACAGGGAATCCAGGGAGGATGGCCCCTACAGGACCAGTGGTGTAAGTGGCGATACTGGGAGGGTAGAGGGGGAATGGGTTGGAAAGGAGGAACTGATTACAAGGATCTACATGTGACCTCCTCCCTGGGGGATGGACAACAGAAAAGTGGGGTGAAGGGAGACGTCGAACAGGGCAAGATATGACAAAATAATAATTTAGAAATTATCAAGGTTCATGAGTGAGGCGGGGAGCAGAGAAGGAGGGGGAAAATGGAGAGCTGATGCCAGGGGCTTCAGTGGAGAGCAAATGTTTTGAGAATGATGAGGGCAATGAATGTACAAATGTGCTTTAAACAGTTGATGTATGTATGGATTGTGATAAGAGTTGTATGAGCCCCTAATAAAATGATTAAGATAAATAAACAAAACAGTGGGTTGATTTGGAGTTTTATATAACAAATTAGGGGATACTTGTACCTAAGAATTGCTAAGCAGCAATTCTGAATTTTCTGGATCTAAGCTTTCATTCAGGGTAAGGTTGAATGAATATATTCACACAGGGCTACAGAACCACGGTGCTTATTTTAACTGGAGAAAATGTGTGGTTTGTCTAGGTTTTCGTCATTCTGGTCATATCACTGTCAGCTGTGCTGTTCTTTTCATTTAAAAATATTCTGATCAAATAATCTTGTCAAGGGGAGATAACAGCCTCCAGTCTCAAATGAAGGCAAAGTTGGAAAATGGGTGCTTTTCTGCTCAATGATCAGATCTTTACAAGCACTGTGCTCACTTGCAGAGAGCGAGCACCCATAGGCTACCTGTGTCAAAAACGTCATGTACTGTCCTTGAGTGTCCAAATGGTCAGCAGGCCGGTTGTAGGCTGTCCATCCTGATTCTCCAACAAAGCGCAGTGGTGTTACTTCATTCTTTTCATCCAGTGGGAAATGGAGAAACATTCCTGCAGGATGCGCAGTCACGTCTCCTTTCTCTTTTTGTCTTCTTTATCTCTTCCATCATATAGCCACTCCCATCTGAGAGACAGCAGATTTCATGATCAAGTGTAAATGCTCCTCATAACACACTTCCATCTTTTCTTCCTAATTTGGTAGTTGATCTTGGCATACGATGATCATGTCCATCCGGGAATCGTTTCTCTCTCCGGGGATCTTTTCTAATTCTGGATCATTTTCATAATGGTCAGCACACAGTTTCCAGTAACCACCAAGATGACGCCGTGACTCCAGGCAGACCTGGAGACTGGGTTCTGGTCGGTGGGGTTGCCTCTGCTCTTCCGGGGATCCGTCTGTAGATCACCCTTCCACCCTCTTTCCACCAGGCTGCACCCCAAACTCCAGACACAGCTCAAAAGTTGATGTTTGACTCAGCTTTTCAGTTAGCTTTATCTTGTATTATTTCTTCTTAGTCTATTATTTTACATTTTTTTAATGAAAAGATGATTTTATTGGGGGGCTTTTACAGCTCTTATGACAATCCATACATCAGTGGTATCAAGCATATCTGTACATATGTTGCTATCATTATTTCCTACCCATTTTGCATTTGAATGATCCATTAGCTGGACTCATTGCCTGAAACTTCTCCACCATGAGAGATTATTTGAAAGGATGATGAGACTTTTTTGCCAAAATTCTTAAGTTGTTTTCTTAAAGAACTGCCCTCACATCACCTCTCTTTCTCCCCATCTTGCAACACAAAGAGATTCATAAATTAATTTCAAATGTTATGGAAAAAGTTTGTGTGTGTGTGTGTGTTTGGCTGCTATTTATATCATTCCCTGATTAAGAAAACACAAGGATACCAATTCATTTAAAGGAAATTAAAACAAACTGGGTTGAACATGGGACAAAGACAAGGCTTCCTACTCCCGTAAAGAGTTACAATCTCAGAAACCCACAGGAGCCGTTCTACTCGGTCCTCTAGGGCCCGGTCAAGTTGGAATTGCCTCAAGAGCACTGGGTGAGTGGGTTGGACATACCATCAGGAGAGGCCAGTCCTTGGAGAAGGACATCATGCTTGGTAAAGCAGAGAGCCCGTGACCAAGAACAAGACCCCGTGCACGATGGACGGCACAATGGGTGGCGCCAACAATGGGCTCCCAGCTGAGAACGATGGTGGGTTCATTCCGTTGCACACATGGTCGCTAGGAGCGGAACCAAGTCGAGGGCACCCAGCAACAACCCAACCTGGATGTCCCTAACGGAATCTCTGGAAGGGACCACGGGTTAAGTGCTTGGCGACTCCCTGAAAGGTTGGCAGTTCCAACCCACTCAGTAACCCCTTCGGAGAAGGCCTGGCAACCCGCTTCTGAAAAGTCACAGTCTCGATTTGTCTTAAAATATGCCATTTTGATCAACAACAACAACAGCAAAAAACACCCCCCCAAAACCAAAATGTATACAAGTGTTGTATTTTTCGGGTATGTTGATGCTCGGTATAGGGGAGAGATACAAAAAAGTGCCCTTGGGTGTTCAGAAAAGTCTAGCTCCATCTGGAAACTTCCTTGTTCATGAATAGGTGCTAGGTTTCATGTATGGCAAGTTGTGTTTTGTTTTGAAGCAGAAAATAGATGGAACATCCGAGGTCACACTGGAGGCCGGGAGGCATTCCCAAGCCTGCTTCCCCTGACCCATCTCTGCTGAATCACCCTGGAGATGCACACAGCCTGCTTCCCCAAGCATCAGCTGCGCATCCACACCTCTTACTATCAAGTGGATTCCAACTCACCGCAACCTGTAGGAGTGGTCGGAACCACCCCACCATGCTCCCAGGTGATCTTGACTCAGAAGCCGACTTGTCACATCTTTCCAGAGTGACTAATGGGTTCAGAACCACTGAGCGACCTTTCAGTGATCGATCGGCCGAGCACTTAACCACTTCACCACCAGAACTCCCGGATAAGCTTAACATCCCCACTTAATAGTCTGGGAACTACATGGATTGGGTCTTCTCTGGGTCATCCTCAGACGCCAAAGATGCTCAGTTACTAATAAGGCAAGGGATTCCAGGGTTGTCTGGAATTGCATCTTTGGAAACTTCTAGTCCTGATCACTGCCTCTTCTTAACCCACCCACACAAGACCCTACTTCTCAATGCTAATACAAGATCAGGTCACCCTCTGGAAAGTACATAATCATAATAAAGCTGGTGGCAGTCGCGTCTGCTTTTAGCATGGACATCTAATCTAGATTCCCCTGTGAGCAGGCCTGCTAACAATGGTGCCAAGTCTTCTCCCATGTTTCACCACCTGCCAGCCATAGCTCATCTTCCTCTGCCCAGACCCCAAATACCTTATTTACACAAATCTTCAGCGGGACTCCAGCCAGG